TTGGAATGGTAGGTATTGATTGTTAGTTCCAAGGGCCATTAGGCAAATACCATTCATAGACCTAACTGTTCCACTAGTCACTAACTAGCTCAAGTTTAAAGCTAATTGGGAAGTCCAGAGTTAAGTCTGGTTACAACGCTCTAAAAGCTGCAGCCTCTCAATATATACAAAAATTTGAAGCAAAAAGTTAAACATAGATCTCTTCAGTTACTTAAGGTTAAAATCTATATTCTATATCCTCAAGTAGTGACAAGGTGAGGGCCAGACCGTGGAAGTACACACGAGTATGTAACATACTTGACACTGTCCGTAAGCACAACAACAAAGATCTTAGAGAGTGACTTTGGTTTTATCACGCTGTCTGCATCTCCATCGCCGCCCTCTCTGGGATCAACGAGCACAGAAACTACCATAGATGAGGCAGTCTTATTCCCTTGAAAGTTTTCTTTCTGAGAATTTCCTCCATGTCCACTGTTGTTCAGATTGGATCCAGGGACAGGAACTGGAAGACCACGGAGAGTCCTTCTATTCTGTCCCTTGTTAACCTGAGTATTATTCTGATTTTGTTTTGTTGAACTAGCAACAGAGGAAGCAGGAACAATGGCTCCTGGCTTTGGTGAGACATCCAAGTGAAACACTTCAGTGCACATACCAGAACTCAACATTGGCCCTGGAAAAGGAAGACGAAAATTAACACAAGCAATCAACTATTTATACCTTGTTGTCTTATAATAAAGGGGCCACTTCAACTTAACATGATGTAAGAAAAACGAGTCTACTCTAAGTTACCTCTGTCCCCATTAAAGCTAACTTGTAATTTACATGATTTTACTTTTTAAAATGTTGTGTTAGAGACATGGAAAACGTAGTTATAGAACGCATATGTCACCAAGAAAGCATTATCGGCTATTATTTTTTGTTGTCAGCACAGAACACCCAATGCAGAATCAGTAACATTCTCCCTAGAGCTCAAATGTTCAGCAAAGTAAATGTGAGGAACATAATCAACTATTACAATTGCTAAGAAAGCAATAAAATGTAAGTTCAAATCACTATTCATGTTACAGTTACCACTTACCACAAAAGGAGATAAAAAATAAAACCCAAAGTCCAGACCAAATTATGCTAGGTATTCCAAACAGTCAAAACACCAAATGGCAAACGGAATATCAGAAAAATACAAACTGTCCAAACACTTTACTCATAATTGATTTATGAGTTACGCACAACTAAGCTATAACTTAGAATTTGCATCCAATTTGATAGAACGCATAAATGCAGAATAGCACTCAATTAATTTCATATATCAAGAATCTAAAGCAAATGATGATTTATGAGCATGAGAATTACCTGCCAATCCTTCATGGAACCACTGCTGCATCGTACCATCAGCTGCAGATGACTGGAAATGGTCCTTCAATGCATCAGCAGAACCAGAAGACAGAGCCTTCTGCCTTTCTGTAGGATTTCTGTAGACATGAGGGTGTTCAACACCATCCCCTCTGGCATCAGGAATCGCCAGTGCTGGGGAGAAATCCCTGGGGACTGCCAAACCAGTCTCCCTCTTACTCTTTATTTCAGAACCCTCCTTCTCACTCTTTATTTCAGAACCCTCCTTCTCACTCTTTATTCCAGAAGCCTCCTTCTTACTCTTTATTTCAGATGCCTCACGAGAGGCAATTGCTTTCTCACTAGCAAGAACAGAATGAATTATCAGGTTGCCATCAATTTTCACAAGTTTATCATTCCTCCATACATATAAAGAGGCACCAAGCGGCTCACTAACATTGTCTGGATTACGAAACTCATCTGAACCAGGCACCCTATCCTCTGATCCTCCACCATGATCTCTCTCAAAGGCAACGTTATGACTATTATCTAATTTTCCCCTAGAATATCCTATAGGCCTACTTTCATCAGAAACATTTAGATGACCACTAACTTGCAAAACTCTCCCTCTATGTGAATCATAAAATCCATTACGAACAGAACCAGATCTATCACTCACACCGTCCCTAATTCCTCCATATTTCACATTCACCATAGGCACCAATCCGCCAAACAATAAAACAAAGAACAAGAGTCCCAGAAAACTAACGCTAGCTACCTTCTTAGTTTTCCCCTCACTCTTCTTGTTCTCGGTCTTTTTGGCCTTAGGAGCTGGTGCCGGCTGCTGTGCCTTCAACCTAGGAATAGGAACCAAAGGCACCTGAGACCCTTGTGGCTTCATCACATAGGGAGGACAGGGCACCCACGGGTACGGCACAGGCGCCATTGGTGGGTACATAGGCTGTGGTGGACACATTCCAGCACCACCAGCAGCACCACCACCACCCAATTGCTGCCTCAAGCTTACATTTTCAGCCATAAAATAAGCAATCTTACTATTCAAATCTGTAATGGTAGAATGCATATTCCTGACCTTATCTTCTAGCTCCTCCACATAATGTTTCTTCCTCTGTCTCGACAGCTGCGCACTCTCCCTGTTCCTCATCAACCTCGCCTTCCTCTTCTCTTCCTCCTCGCCCAATGCAAGTGTACTTTCACTTGCATTTTCCACCTGCAACGATGATCTCCGACACTTACTAGTGCTTATATCTTCGTTTTCCTTTTTCCTCTTGGAAACACGGGGATTTCCAGTTTCTTCCACTTTAATTTTCTGCTCAACAACCGTATTTCCCGAATCCGGCGAAGCAGCGTTCATGGCATCGGAAACTCCCGAGCCCTGGGATGACACCCGCGAGGAATCTGGACGATCACAACTGCCAGACTCCGGAGACGAACATTTCAGATATTTGTCAACGTCCACGGGACCCCGGTCGCCGGAAATAGCCGAACTGCCTGATTCTGTAGTGAAATCACCGAAATTCCCAAGCGGAGAACCCGAATCGGGTATGACGAAGTTTTCGGATCCGAGAGGGAAGTACAAGTCGTCGAATTCATCAAAGGTAAGGTTGAAATCCCCGTTATCGTCGAGTGGAAACCCTAGATCTCCATCGGGAATTGAATCAGGCGCGGAGAAGAACAAAGGATCCATGGGAGTGGCAGCTAAGGACTCCAATTCGGCGGTCAGATTGGGGTCGGGCGGAGCTTCGATATCTGCCATCGAAAATTAGAGGTTTTGGGAAGGGAATAATGAGGTTTTGTAGAATGCAACCGAAGATTTATCGTTGAGTGTTTCGTCGATCGTTTCACCCACGCCGCCTGGTGCGCGCGTTTACGTACTCGCTAACTGAGACCGTTTCAGCTACTCGCCGACTCCTATACTTTTATATATATATATATATATACACACACGAGTAAAAGTGTTTGTCAGCCTTATCTTCTAAAAGATTAGGAAGAAAATCATCCTAAAATTACGTCGTTTCAATAACTTTTTATTGAAAAAGACTAAATTACCCTATTTTTAAAGCATGCATTGAGGTGATATTTATCTTTTTTCCTCCTAATTTTTGGAAGGTAAGGCAGATAAGCACTACCCCATATATATATTAAAAAAAATTAGATTTATAATAAAAATAAAATTCATTAATATCGTATGTTTTATATTATATA